GAAGACAGTTTCCAGAGTTTGATCCTTAGGTACAAGGATCAATTCCAGCGGCGGGTGTTGTTACAGTTGGTGGAGATGAGAGGGAAGAGATCGAGGAGGGCGAAGCGAACGAAGGAATTGGGGAAAGAGGAGGCCTAGGGTTAGGGATTGAGGATGGTGAATTGGGAATTGGGAATCGAAGCGAGAGAAAGAATGGGAAGAGGGGAATTAGGGATTGCAATTGAAGAAGAGGAAAGAATGCATTTACCCTTTCAAATGATGCGTGTAGCTGAACCGGTTCAGGAGGCATTGGATTTAGTGGAGTTCCAGACCCAAGCAGAGTTGAAGCAGCCCAAGACTGGTGGCCCAGTAACCTGATAGAGGAAGATAGAATCAGTTTGTTATAATTGTAGCGCCAACTGGCATTATTTGCTATTTACATTTCTAGCCTTGTAACAAAATAAGACTGGCTGTAAGGATTGATTCCTCAGATTATGAATGAATCGTTTTCTCATTTCCTAAAATCCTTTCTTCTCTATTTCCTCATTCTCAAACTCTTTTCTAATTCTCTTGAACTATAACATAAGCCTGGCTCATGTTATGTTTAAGCGCAAATTGTCCTTGGCGATCGGACCGATGACATCGATAAGTGTGGAGAGTTTCAGCAGCAAGAAGGGCATTATCCGTAATCAATCTGCCCGGTATGAATGCGCTCTGACTAGGATCAATGCAATCGCCAAGAGCATGTTTAAATCGGTTGACAATCATCCGAGAAATGATCTTATAAAGTACATTACACAAGCTGATCGGCCGATAATCTTGTACCAATCTCGCATCCGCCTTCTTTGGGATCAGTACAATTGTCGACTCATTGATAGGGGTCAAATCTGCACGCTCATTCAAAATTTGAAGACAGAAAGTAGTTACATCGCCACCCACGTCCTGCCAAAACGTATGATAAAATGAAGCATAAAAACCATCTGGTCCTGGTCCTGGGCCTTGAGGAGCGGGATTTGAAACACTGCCGTCTTCACATCAGCAGCTGTGAATGGCAATAAAAGCGCAACATTTTGAGCCACTGTAATCCACCGAGAAATTCCATCTAAAACAGGTTGACAATCTGCTAAAAACAACTCCTCCAAACAGCTCAGCAAAGAATCATGAAAGCACTGGAGTAATGCCGCTTGATCAACCACACGTTGGCCCCCCGAATCGGTTATACTGGAGATCATATTACATCGACGCCGAATCGAGGCCGGTGCATGAAAATAGGCCGTATTCCTGTCACCTAACCTCAACCAATTAACACGGCCACGATGACACCAGTACACCTCTTCCTTCTCCCATAAATTGTTGAGTTCCGATTGACAATTGTGAATATCGGCCAAAACCATATCCGAGATGGGAAGTGTTTGAAGCATGGCAAGCCTGTTTGTCAAAAACTTCTTTCTCTGAGCTTGCTCATAATTCCGCTGGCGACTCCACTGGCCAGGGGAGGTTTCCAACTGACCAAGCCGATCGGGCAAAGATATGGAACAAGAAGACCAAATAGACTGATCAACTTGCACAAACTCCGGCTCCCTCGCGTTATTTGCATCAAAACGGAAAAAAGGAGGTGTCCGACATTGTAACCCCCAGCGTATCCACAAGGAGGGGGCAGTGATCAGAAACTGTCGAAACCAAGTGGTGCACTGTCGCTGCAGGAAACTCCTGTTGCCAGGCTGTTGAACCCACTGCCATATCCAATCATTCACCTGGCTCAAATAAATCACTAAGATTTTGTCATAAATATTAATATTTTAAAGCATATGATTAAGGGAGAAATTCATTTATATTAATGTAAATGTAACTGGATTTCATGTACAATTATAAGTTTTATATCTTAACAATTCAATCATTAAATTTATTATTTTATTGTGCATGTAAATTTTTGAATCAGTTCAATGTTTTTATCATATTAATCTAAAGTAATACATTTATTAATACATATTAACAATTATAAATTTACATAAAATAAATAGTTAGATATTTTTAGTTTATTTCAATTTTGACATGCATGATCTACGTAAAAGAAAATATTTTTTGAATAGTAAAAAACAAGATATTAAATTTAATGATTGAATTGTTGGAAATATTAATAATAAAAAAATTATCAAGCTATATAAAACTCACCTAACTCAATTAATTTAAATGGTACTTCTCCTGTATGATTAGTGGGGGAAAAACCCCACGAATGAAATTAAAATAATTATACATATCCTTATTACTTCTTTTGTACCACTTAAATTGTCATTTTATTGACTTTTTCGGTTTTTTTTATTAATTTTAACTAATTATTATTTTAAAATTTGTTATTGATAAAAATATATTTTAAAAACTTTTAATCAAATAATTTTGAAATATATATTTAATAAAATTTATTTTTTTTAAATATTTAAAATAATCATAGTCAAAGTTTAAAAAATTTTACTTTTAAAAATCAATAAGAAACATTTTTAGTGGGATGAAGATAATATTTTTTTAGGGTTCTTAAACAAATTCTAATATATATATATATATATATATATATATATATATAATTAAATAAAGATTCAAAAAATTATTTATAAAATCAGATCAAGTATCCTATAAAAATTTAAGGAAAGTCTTCAATAAATAAATTATCAAGGTATGTAAAACTCACCTAACTCTAATGTAAATGATCCTTCTATATAATTAGTGAAAAAAATCGACAAATGAGATTAAAATAATTATATACAATCTTATTACTATCTTTCTGGGATTTTTAAACAAATTCTAATATATATATATATATATATATATATAATTAAATAATAATTCAGAAAATTATTTATAAAATCAGATCAAGTTAAATTTAGTCCAATTCAAATTAAATTACTATCTTTAAATATACCGATAAAAAATTTATTAAAATTCAAAATAAAGAAATATAATTAAATTTCAAATGTTTTAAAGTTAAAATAAATATTTAAAAAAATTAATTTAGAACGTTAATGTGAAATAATTTAAGTAATTAAGAATTTAAAATGTTATGATGTCAAAATTTAAGAAATTAGGATTTTAGAATATTAGAGTGAAATAATTTGAGGATTATGAATAAAAATTAATATAAAATAAAAATAAAAAATACAATAAATCGGGTACTGGGTCGGTGGGTACTTGATTAACCAACAGTTTGTGACCCATGCTCGACATAGAAACCCAATAGGGTACCCGACCCGAAAAATCGAGTATTTTTATTATAAATACCCAATATTTTTTAACTGGGTCAGCTCAATCGGGTCTGGTATTTTTAAACAACCTTACTGGCATGACATGTGACATCGTTTGATTGAATAATTAAATTTATTTTAATTTATTAAAAGTATGACTAAATTGAGAGAATATATAATAATAGTTTAAAAATGTGTGATTAAATCAAAATTATTTAATTGTTGTTAATGATTATTAACTCGAGATGATTACACTTTAATTAAATAAAAACGAAAAGTGACTATATTTTAATTAAATAAAAACAAAAATGATCACATCTTATATTTTTTTAAATCAGTAACTAAGGAACAAAATACAAATCTAAGTTGATCAACAGTGCAGTTAACCCAAAAATAATAAGTATTGGCACTGAATTCAGTTGTCTTGTTCTGTTTATCTGTATTATTTATGTCAAAGATTTCGGTAGATTGTTTAACATCTTAGCTTATGGCTATCCTCCATCACTTCGATCTGGGTTTCCTTTTTCTTTTCTTTTTATGGGTGAGTCTGGGTTTTCAAATGCAAATATGATAATGGCGTATCGTTTATAATCTCAAAAGGTTAACTTGTTAAGTGCCTAGTGTTGGGGTATTTTGAGATTTTTTTAAACTTTGAATGAACATGGTGATGGTGATTTGTTGTATGGGGAGATTGATTTGAATATTTCGAAGAATTTGTGGTAGTAACTAAGCAAATAAGAGAAGAAAATATGCCTTTCGATCAAAAGAAATATGTGGTGGTCGGGATTTGATTTGATAATCAAGGCAGGGATTTGCTTAACTGGGCTATTGTAAAAGTTGCCGAGCCTGGTGATTTGTTGTTGCAGTTCATGTTTTCCGGAGTTCCAGTAAGCCATTTTTCATTGCTTTTTTCAGTTAATTTTGTACAATTTGCGTTCTAATTTGAAGTTTCAATGTAGATCATGCTTTGGGGCAGAAGTTAGGGATGGCAAACGGGCGGGTCGGGTGCGGATACCCCTTCCCCATCCTCATATCCACCTAATATTTTTCAATCCGCCATCCGCCCACCACCTAAGATGAGTACAAATTTTCAAATCCACACCCGGCCACATGGGTACATTCTCAAATCCATCCCCACACCCACTACCTATTAGTGACGTACCCGTTTAGATCCGCCTGAAAGCAAACTTAAGTTATATATAAGCAACAAACATAAAAAAACATGTCCACTAAGAAACATAATAAAATAATCTAAAGATTATCTAAATTAAGTGTTAATATAGATCTTAAATTATATAAAACACCATAATAAAAGACATAATTAAAGTTTAGAAACATAAATGACAAACACATAATGTTTTTTTTCTTTGGCACAACATTCTAAAATTTCAGGCAATACTTGTGTCATTTGATACTCCAGTATTACAATCATCAATCTCTATTTCCTCCAATTGATAGCGCTCCAATTTAAATTCACTACTACCTACATATATAATAGAAAGTGGGTGGTCGGGCAGATATTTAGCTGGACGGGTGGACGCCGGGTGGGGGTATCACATCCACACCCGCCCACTACCCGCTAAAATTATACATATCCCCGCCCCAATTAGAACAGGTGCGGTTGGAAATCCACAAAATTGTATTCGTTTACCATCCCTAGCAGAAGTTGTTGTTAGAGCGTTATCTAGAAGTTTATGAAGGCCTGTGTTCTATAAAGAAGGCTGCTTTCATTACCGAGAACTCGGGATTCCGATGAATTTCGCTTTGAATTGATCTTTACCGGAATTTTCATACTTGGCTTTCAGGTTGGTCTTAAAGGTGAGATTTGTAAAGGAAATTCGATACGAAAAGTTTTGATTCGAGAAGCAGTGAACTATGCTGCTGTTGCTTTAGTTGTGGGTATAGACAAGCTTGGTGCTTTTGGGTAAGTTGGCTGTTAAAAACTCAAACTTTTATGTTGTTTAAATTGGTGCCGTTCTTAGTCTCATTACTCAAAAAGAACAGATATTGTTTTCAGGGGTTGGACTTCCACGGCTAGATATTGCGCGAAGCGGTTGCCCACGACAACCGATGTTCTGGCCATCAACAATGGAAGACTTGTTTTCGAAAGATCCAACAATAGTGAATTACCAGGTCTGGTTTTTAACCTGTCCTAGAAATAAGAATGAACTTGTTTCTACTGTGGTCTTCCAAAGTAATTAGATGATGTGCTTTCAATTATGTCAGGTCTTAAAGGTGATCCAAGACCAAGTCTTTGCTTGTCCGACAACCTTGGTGTTAGAGAATGTCAATCGGAATATGGTGACTCTGAAGTAGGGTCTGAGATATCCAGTTCCGAACGGATTCGAAGCTCCAAAGATGGATCAAGAGCCAGTAGTGATGATTCAAAGATTGAGACATTGAATGCTGTTCATCAAGGTGAGAGACTCGATTCCTCTTTTTGCGGAAGATAATTTAGACTATAAGCCTGGTTGACCCCTCCTCCTGAGGGCTAGTTCAGCAACACCGCAAGCAAAGCACGCCAGGAGTTTGTCGGTTGTCAAATGGGTGATGAACTTACCAAGTCGTTCCCCGCACGATCATACTCCTCGATGTTCAACGATCAAGGAAATAGAGCAGAGTGAAATTGAAGATGGCAATGATGGGACTGGGACCAATTCATCCATGCAATATGAGTTGCAAAATTGCTTTGATATACACCTGAAAACGAATTCATCTGTTTGCCGATGGTACTGTTATGGAATTCTAAAAGACGCAACCGATCAATTCTCCACAGGTTTTTATCTCCAACTTGCCTTGCAACCATGGATGTGTTCTTTATTACTTTTTATGTGTTTTTTATCTTAGTTTTTTAAGATTCTGTTTCATAGCAAGAGAACTTGGAAAAGGAGGGAGCAACCGTGTTTTTAAAGGGATCCTTCCTGATGGCAAAGCAGTGGCTGTCAAGATTCTGAAATCATCGAAAGAGGCATGCAAGGATTTTGCGAACGAAATCGACATAATCTCCTCACTTAAGCATAGACACATCATGCCTCTAATCGGTGTCTGCGTTAAAGACCATGATCTAATATCTGTCTACGATTTCTCGTCTAAGGGGAGCTGTAAACACTAATTTTTCATTTTACTTAAATTATTATTATTAAAATTATTATTATTATTATTATAAATATTATTATTATATTATTATTATATTATTATTAAATATATTATTACAAGGCCCAAAATTGGGGCCCAATTACAATTACAATCGGCCCAATAGAACTCAAACCCTTTAGGGTTTGTAACATTCAGCTAGGGTTTTCTAACCCTAGCCCCGTGCGCAGCCGCCTCAAGGGTTTTCCAGCCGCCTCTGAAGCCATTCCAGCTGCCACGCCTCTCCAAGCTTCCAGAAGACCACGCGGCGCTGCTTCAGCTTCCAGCCGCCCCACGTCGACACTGCTGTTGCCATGACACCAGCCTCGCCGAAGTCTCCAGAACGCCACGAAGCCCTCCACATGTCGAGCTCTATGGTGAGTCACCACCATAGTTATGGTGACTCACCGAACCTTTTCTCTTTACTCGGGTCGAAGAGGACACCGGTGGTGGCTATAAAGCCTCACCAAATCTGCAAAAGAAAAAAAAACCCGACGACAACAAACGGACAACAACAAACAGAAAAAAAAAGAGATACAGAGAAAGAGCTACACCAACGATCCCAGAAAAAACAAACCGAAAGAAGAAAAAAAAGAGACTTACCGAGGAAATCGCCGCCGTGAGAGCCTCCACGAGTCATCGGAGAACCGAAACACCGAAGGTGAAAATCGTAGATTTACGATATATTATGGGATTTTAGGTTAAAATAACCTTAGATCGGGCATTAGGACGTTTAGATCTACGCTTTGGGGGGTATTTTGTAAATTCCGACCACCGTTCACGGTGGCCGGCGGCGGAGTACGGTGGCCTATGGCTGCCGGTTTCCCTCCGGCGAGGGAAACTAGAGAGAAACCAGAGAGAACTCTGGTTCTCTCATTTTGAGAGAGAAAGGAAAGAGGCAAATGAGGAAGCTTGGTCCTTTGGGCCAGGCGTTTAGGGTATTTAAAACCCTCCCCAAACGACGTCGTTTTGGGGAGGGTATCTGTGTAATTTAAGAAAGGGTAAACCCTTTCTGCAACCCTTATAGGTCTGTAACTTTGCAATTTAGTCACTGAAATTAACTTTTAATCATTTTAATTTAGTGTTTAAATTTTATTTTATTATATTTTAGCCATTAACCGTATTAATAATATATTTAGGATAAATGTCATATTTAGTCCTTTAATTTTAATAATTAATATTTTAATCTGAATAGTATGTTTTAATTTATTTTAATATGATATTCGAATTTTATATAATTTTATTTTAGTCACTAAATTAATAAATAAGGAAATAGCATGTTTAATCCCTATAATTTTGATTAATTATGAATTAGGTATTTAATTTTAATTTTACTATAATTTAATCACTAATTTTAAATATTTTCATTTATTTTACTGCTTTTAAATATATAGTTCTAATTGTATTTTTATTGTTTTAATTTTACTTGTTTATATATTTAAATATTTTTATTATTATTATTATGTAGTCATAAATATATATATATAATAAATAATAATTTATTTTTTCAATAAAATAATTTTAATATTTATTTTTCAATATCAAAGAAAAGGGCAGTCTTAATACAACTGGATGTCCTATTCTGGTATTTTAAAAATAAATGCTATAAAAAATTATTATTTTATTTTATTTAAATTAATATTTATTAATATCAAAGAAAAGAACTGTCTTAAGGCACCTAGAAGTCCTTTTCTGATATTTTTAAATAAATAAATATTTTTTATATAATTTTGAAATAATAAGATTATAAATTAAATATATTTTGAATTTTTAAATTTTTAATGATAGAGACAATTTATAATTAAAAAAGTACCAATTTTGGGCGTTGTAGGGGTGCTAATCCTTCCCTAAACGTAACCGACCACGAATCCCTTTTTATTATTAAAAAGAACGAATTTTTGGTTATAAACACAGATCAGATCATTTTTTAATTGATGTTTTCTTAAAACTCTTTTAAAAAATAATTTTTAGGTATTCGACCTACCTGACCCAAAAGGCCGATGGCGACTCTCAAATTATTTTCAAAACCATTTATTCACATCACTTTTCCCGTCAAGTAAATATTTCGTGCCCGGACGAAAACCGGTTAGGACAGCTTGGCGACTTTGCTGGGGAATTGTCAAACTTTAAAATCAATTATAAATTGTCTCTATTAATTAGAAATTAATAATTCATTTATTTAATTTTTAATTCTTTTCTTTCAAATTTTTATTATTTATTATTTTTATATTAATATTGTTTTTTTATTCAGGTATTAATTATTTTATTTATCTGTTAGAGGTTTGAACATTTCTCCTCACACACAACACTTGCATTGCATAACATAAAGCTCTATAATTGAGTTTGTCCCTTTTAAGTGGGAGTGAAAGCGACGTCTTCGTGAGAATTTATTCTCTGTGTCAGACCTAGCAAGTAACTTTCGGGGTTCATATGCTCTATGTCTTCGTGAGAATTTATTCTCCGTGTCAGGTATAGAGAAATGTGTCCCCTCGAATTGAACTCGATCCGTTTAAGTCTGTAATGGACTAGGATTGAGGATTGACAGCCCAAGGGGCATCAACAAAGACAGTTCGAGTACTTTTACTCCTAGAACTGAAAACCTGCATATAATAAACCCTAGAAACTCTCCCAATCTGAGACCATGCCGAAATTTTGTCAGTAGGTATACACAAAGGAGAAATAAGCTCTAGCTTTTAATTTATTTTATTTCCTTTTCTTTTTCCGGAATAAATGCATGCGAACTAGAAATCATGCGGTTAGGTTAAATTTTCCAAACAAAGCATGGAACTAGAAAGCATGAGGTTAAGATTTATACCTTGATAAATAGATTTTTTTCCATTAGTTGGTACTAACTATTCTATTTTTTTTATTTTTTCATGCATGTTACATTGTTCTAATCTGTTCATATTGATTTCTTTTGTTTGCATTGCATGATCATGGCATAATCAAAAAGTGTTGACTTGAAAGATTGTTCATCATATTGGAAAGAAATCGTAAATGAACAAAAAGTTTTATGATCGAACAAAATATGACGCAACCGCGAAATGGCATCCTGAGAGAACTCCGAGGATAAAAGAAAGCTACGCACCTAGAGATCATGTGTCCATTAAGGAGCAAGAAGAGATACGAGAAATAAGAGAGCAGATGTCCAAGATGATGGATAGAATATCTGTTTTGGCCAAAAGAGAAGAGATTCCTGCACAGAAAGAGAGAAAGCTTAATGAACATAATCCTGCAATCTCAAATATGCAAGGGACTTCTGATCCCAATCAATTAGAGAAGTTACAGACAATCATCATCCGTATTCACAAGTCATCTGGAGATACCAAAGAAATGATGACAATTGTAAAAGCTCTCAGAGAAGAGAAGAAATCATGTAACCTGAAATCATCGAAGTTTAGTAGGCTCCCGATATCTAAAACTCAGGTTCAATCCAAGACAAAAGGCGGTTCTCATGTTGATGCTATACCTATATCATATAAAGAGTTGTATGAAAAGTTACTTGAAGCACGAGAAGTGGCTCCATATTACATAAAACCATTCCAACCTCCGTATCCAAATTGGTATGACATCAACGTTCATTGTGAATATCATGCCAGAGCTCAAGGACATACCATCGAGAATTGTCTTGCCTTCAAACGTCGAGTCCAAAGTCTTTTGGATCATGGAACCTTGCAATTTATGGTAAATGATCGACCTAGTTTAGTAACCGAGGGTCCTGCTAGTTTAATACCAAAAGTCTTCAAAGGTAAGAATATCAGTAGGGGCGCCCAGAGAGAAAAAGATTTGCTGAGGTTTGAAGCTCAAATACGTCATTTGAAGATTGAAAATGATAAATTGAGCACCAAAATGGAAACCATACATGAAGATTTCCAGAAGGTCAGTCAAGCCTTTCAAAATGCTGGTATAGGAAACACCCCAGAAGAGTGGATAGCAGGGGTCACCAAACTGAAAAAGAGTTGCAACATACATGAAGATCTTGTCCAAAAACTTTTTGAACACAAATTTCCTCTCACAAGGGAAAATGAGCAACTCCGAGAATTGACATAGGAGATGAAAGAACACCAGAATGTCATGGAAGAAGCTGCAGTCCAGACAAGCAATATGGCTCATAAGCTGATAAACTAACTTGGTTTTAGAGAAGAAAATGGGAAAGTTATTCCCTATATGTAAAGTTTTGTTGAAGTTAGGACTGAAAGTTGTCCCCTACATGTAAAAGTTTTTTTTGATGTACCGAAACTTTTGTGTTCAATGAAATATGTTCTAAGATGATCACTCTTAAGTAACACCTTTTCATATATGCATTTTCAATTTTGCATCTTTGCATTTTTCATTTTGCATTCATACTTTTATGTCTGCCTTTGAATTGCACATTTTGCATTCTTATTTTTCCATTTATGCATTTTTCACATTTTTATTTAAGTACTGTTATGTACTTTAATTATAAAAACATGTAAATAATTCTTGAAAGGTTCTGTAACAGTAAAAACCAAGACCATTCATTCATATTAATTTACTATCATCATGAAAACAATGGAGCAATCTTATAAGGGACTACAAGACCAGTGGCCAGAACAATTGACAGGGTTACCTCCGGATATAAGGAAAGAAGCGTCAGATTCAGTACCAGATGAATCAGATCAAATTATTCATGGAATGGAATCTGATAAAGAAAAGATAACTGCTAAAAAGAAATCGTGCTATCAGATTGAAGAATCGAGAAAGATAACATACCCTGGAGCATCCCACTCAAACCCAAAGAATAGCCTCATTAATTATTCACAATATGAGGAGAGAGTCAAGAGGACAGAGAAAGCAATCAGAAACATGAAAGATGTTAGTGCCCACCACAAAGAATTAGAAGTAATAAAGCTCAGCTTGGTTCCAGATTTGATTATTCCCCATGAATTCAAAATGCCTGATTTTGAGAAATATGATGGCACCAGTTGTCCCTTAATCCATTT